CAAGAAACGCAGATCTCACGCAGGAGCCCGTTGGAAGGTGATCCTCTTTCTTTTTATCATCGCGACGCGGGAGGGGTGATGCGACTTGGATCCACTGCTAAATCTATTGTTCATACACTTCCCGCAACGTGCCACAGACGTATTCTGGTAATCTGGCATCGAAGCAGGTCAGGCCAATCTCGCAGATCCGCAGCTAAACCGTAGGGAGCCCTCCAACCTCATCGAAGTTCTCGAGGAGAGCGGTGAAGCCGATCCATGGCGTACTCACATCCGGCTCAACGACGCCGACCATCCACCCCGCCTGATCGCACGTCTAGCAGGTAGGTTCTTTAACATGGCGGCTGAGACTGCGGCCGCGCGAGCCACTAGACCATAGGGTTTGATCCAGATGCAGGCAGGTTCACTCTGACCAGATCTCAGACTTCTGGACGTAATACATATTCACCTTTCTTTCGAACCACACTTCGTTATCATCTCTGGAATTCTGCGTCGATCCGTCCTTGTTTACCCCGGATCTATATTCATGTAGGTCCCATTCACATAGATCACCCATTTGAATATCTCTTTTGCTCTTTCTCGTATACATTTTCACGCAAGTCCTACCCTTCGCTTTGCAACCCCCTTGCAGATCCGCCTACCATTTTACCACGCCTATGACCAACTTATCAGTGTGGGTTCAGATCTTATGGTTCTTCATGAGACTGCATCACACCAAATCTGTTGCGATTAGTGCGGTCTCACAGAAACTCATAAAGTAAGTCGCCGCAGTTGAGATCGGCTTCATCCACCCAAGTTGGATCTTCATATCCACGCCAGTGTACCAGAAATTCTCGATAGATCCGTTCATACCTCGTCCTTTTATCAGTCCTCATATCGGAAATCCAATCCACTTCATGTTCATCTGGGTCTCGATCTTGGATCCAATTGTCTTCAGGTAGGAGAGCTTCATCGAAGTCAACTTGGTCTGCATTCGACTCCTCTAGGCGAGCTACAGGTCGATTTGGAAACGTCCTGACTGGCTTGTTCTACGAGACATATACCAGTGGAAATATGCTGTATGTCGATCCTGTAATATCCAACTTCATGGCATATTCTCTGATCTTCTCAGCACCGTGAAATGGCCCATGCCATAAGTGCCCTAATTTCTCCGCATATCCTTAACGCACTCGATCCAAGTACAGCCAGACTCTTGATCCAGCCTCCACCGGATGTGGGCATACCAGATCATTATGTGTGTCAGCTCGATCCGAGATAGCTTCACGTAGACGTTGGTTAACATGTTCTCGATCGTGATCGTAATACTTTTGCATCCGGTATTGCCCCCTTCTAGGATCTCTATCGTGCCTGCGAGTGCTCCCCACCGGGATGACCGCCTCCAGCGTGGATCTAGGATCCCAGCCATGAATCATGTAGAAAAGCGTTTTGCCCCAGATCTCTTGCCGTGTTGATCGCAAATGTAATCCCAATCACGTTGATCCAGGTCCTGCACATACATCTTAAGAGCCCTGGTGGTCGTCTGGACCATACGTTCTGCGGATCTATTATCGGCAAGCCATAGTAGCGCGTTGGCGTTGACCCAAGATCTTGTTGAAAGACTTGAAAAAGTCAGACATGAAGCCTGGCTCTCGATCATGCCGGATCACTTCGCTCGCGCCAAATCTGCGGAAAACACATTTTTCGTAGGTCTCAGCGATCGTCTGTGCAGATCTAGAGGCGCTGGCCTTGGCAATCACGTATCTAGAGAATAGATCCACGAAGATCAACAACTCTGCGTTACCATTGAAAATCTGGGTAGCAAAGGTATATGATCCATGGCAATGATCTGGAATGGGTATGTTGCCTGAAGGTTACCAGGTGACTCACCTTGGGTCCGTGGTCGTCCTTTGACTGTTTCACAATCGATACATTCTCCCAAATATCGCTGTACGCTCTTGTACAGCCCTCTCCAGTGGAAGTGATCGCGGATCAGATCATACATCCGACAAATTCCTTGGTGATCACCCTGCAGACTCGTATGATAGTGATGCAAATATCTTGCTGAAGCGTCTCAGGCACCACCAATTGCATTAACTTGTCCCGATCAGCAGCGGCTTCCCTGGTTGTTGGACAGTAGGAGAGTAGATCCGACTGATCCACTTCATAATTCGTGGCGATGGATCCAAATACCTTAGCATCTTCTTGTGTCAGATCTCGGATCTCAATAACCAAATACTTCTTCAATCTTGAGATCCACGACTCCTCATCCTGTGCTAGCCGGATCCGCTCGATCCGCAGTTCTCTCACAACTTCCTACCGTAATGATTCTGGATCCGTTCCAGCCCGCACTCCGGATCTAGTTTTAGATTGGGTCGTTACAACAGATATCTGTGCGGCCTCAACTTCGATCTTCACTACCAGGATCTCGTCCAACCGGTTCAAGGTTACGAGATCCTGGATCTTCTTCTCAGACTCGACCTCGATCCCGCATTGTCGTTGCAGCGCAGCACTTGCTAAGCTATCACTACTCCCATTCCAATCCCGCTTAACATGCAACAACTCGTGATCTGGCCAAGTGCGTAGTCGATCTAAAGCCCTCTGGCATAGTAGTGGCAAACCTGGTGCTCTAGAATCGATCTTTCCTCGCACTTGTCGGATCACCAGGTTCGATCACCAAGCGCTGTGGATCCACGTCTTCCAGAAGAGCCAACCATAACATTAGTCCATGATCATCTTCCCCGTTCACTGTTAGGCCCTTGGCATAGCCAGATCTAGCCTGTAGCACACTCCATTCAGGCAATTTCCACAGGGTCGCGCTGTAGGCGCCTCCACCTCTTTTGACACGAGCAGCTCCATCAAAGCTAGCAGCATATACATCCTCGCCGCGTCTAATAGTGGGGAGCGGAGCCTGGATCTTGCGCCGTGGTTCCTTTTTAGGAGCAACCGAGATCAACGCCTTGTCCATCTCAGATCTAGGCTTAAAACTGAATGCCAATGCTCGTAAGATCTCGTCCTCACGCTTGACACACTTGGTGATCTCGAGAGTCCACATCGACAGTAGAGCAGCCCACTGACCTTAACGCCTTTACAAGACCGTAGATCTGAAGAGTCATGCCAAAGTAGAGTGTCGGGCCAACACATGGATAGGACGTCCGACCAAGCATTGTAGTTGAGATCCAGGATCCTCGGCATCGTCAGCACCTCCTTCTCCGCGATCCCATAATTCAGCTCATTTGGGTTTAAAGTACGGCTCGCAAACGTCACGGGGTAGTAGATCTTGTCATATGCCTACATCAACGATCCCGAAATGGCCCAATCACTAGCATACACCACGACCGTAGCTCTTCGCTCTGGATCAAAGTGCCGCAAGATCGGAGTAGTGGTGATTTTTGATTTAAGCACACTGAAAGATCGATAGGCATGAATCCAACGCGGACCTACTTCAGTGAGATCTTGCGTCTCCAGATCCAAAGTCTTTTGGTGGTCGACCAATTGATCTTCATGCGACCCTTGATCCACACTCTCCGCCCCTAACACTCGTTGGATCTGTGCTCGGGTGATGTCCTTCATCATCGCAGCGAAGTCGATCTCCCGAATTCGTACAGAACTGAAGCATTGATCGCGTAGCCTTCGATAAACCGGCTGTAGTAGTTCAGACTTCCCAAAAATGACTACATGGCTCTAAATAATCCTGGAAGTGCTAGATCGGTCAGTGCCGACAGACCTTTCAGGATCGACTCCAATCCATTGTGGGAGACCTTATGGTCGAGATATTCCACCTTAGGCCTTCCCTAAAATCTCTTAACCACACTGATCGACAGATTCCACTTATCACACGCTTCGAGTAAACCCTCAACTCAATCACACAGTTGATCCCAGTTATTGACCGGGATCAGGATGTCGTCGATGTATGATCTACGATTCAAACATATCCAAAGTACTTCCGTGACCTTCAGACTTCAGGATCCGGGTGAATCCATATAACGCGTTGTCGATCATACGTTGATATACGTCGGGTGCATTTTACAAACCGAAGCGTATCCGATTCCATTTAAATAGTCCAAAGGAAGTGATAAAAGCTAAGATTAAATGAGCACGATTCGGCATTTTCACCACCCAAAATCCACTCGCCATATCCAACGAAGAGTACTAAAGTATCGACTCCAGATCTTCAAGTAAGTCGTTGATCAGAGGCATTGCAAGATTAAATGAGCACAATTCGGCATTTTCACCACCCAAAATCTACTCGCCATATCCAACGAAGAGTACCAAAGTATCGACTCCAGATCTTCAAGTAAGTCGTTGATCAGAGGCATTGGGTGTATCATCAGCTGAGTTAGACAGTTAACAAATCGATAATCGATGTACAACCTGATATCTACTCCGTTCTTCTTGATGATCACCACGATCGGGGAAACCCATGGTGATCTAGAGTAATTGATCACCTCGGCAGACAATATACTCTTGATCAGGTCTGCCAGCTTTTCCCTGAGCTGGATCCGCACGTTACGACACTTCAGGGCGATAGGTCTCGCTCCTACGACTTCGATGTCGCACAACACCTCAGGCGGCCGGCGACAGGGCATTGCCTATGTCGATCAAGAGGTGTCGGAACTTCCAGATCCTTTGGCGAAGTCGATCAATTTCTTCTGGGGTCTGATTATCAGATCCACATAGCTGCAAGTCCTCGATCTTCACATCTTCCGTCGTAAAAGACACTTCTGGCAGTGCCGCCATCAGATTGTCGACATATTCCGCGTACAGATCACTTTCTACATGGTAATATACACATTCATCGTAATCTTGATCTGAACCCCTGGTGAGTCCCAGATCCGACGTGTCGGGTTGTTCTTCAGCAACAGGTGGTGGATCCATGTCAGTGTTTTGCAACGTAGACGCGACGCAATTGTCTTTTAGGGATCACTGGCCACATGTCCCGTCCCAGATTTTTCACTCATCATTGATAATGGATCTGATCCACCGCATTTCCACGGTGATGTTCCTTGATCCTGACATCTCAAATGTAGTTGATCCTGGTTGGCGACTTCAATTCCATCTCGACTTTCCTCTTCTCGCATCTCCAATGCACTTGTAGCTTCCTCCAACGACAGATCAGTCGCCACGAAAGCTGGCGTTAATTGATCGAGATCTTCCAGCGCCCCTTGGACCGTTACGACATGCGATATATAGTCTCCATCTGCGGTAGACGACAGATCCGACTCCTCACTTGCGACAGACGCCAGATCTAACGGTTGAATCTCTGACGGCGCCTTATACGATTGCGACTTATCAGAAGGTAGGCAGTCGGAACCATCTTGATCCTGGCTCACCTCGCTTGATCGACATCGTCTTTGGCGTTTAGAGTAGTGCACGCGGAGTTTTGTTGTCGGATTGCTCCCCGCGTGTCCTGGCTGGGCTTCAGACCCACATCTTCGGATCGAGCATCGGTCGTGGCCTCTAACGCCAAATTCTGCCACTCCATGTAGCGACGTGACCCGATCGAGATGAAACCCAGTAGTCGTGGCACATGATATCCCGCTAGCCAGATCCCGATCCGTTGGTCTTGATGCAAGATCAACACGTCGTCCCCGATGTTGGTGATCGAGGTGTACTTCGTCCTCCCCGGTCCATCGGATATTGTCGGCACCCATCTATCCCCATGTGTGACCCCCACCGACTCTCCTGTTTGGATCCGAAGATATTGGCCGGAATTTACGATCTTCGCCTTGTCGTTATAGAGATGCCGTCTCCCGCTAAGCTGGATCCGGACTTCATCCGGCAAATCGATCGATTCGTGAGCTAGATCCGGGCTTAACCATGATGTCCATACCAAGTATAGCTTGCTGGCCAGTCAGACCACCAACCCAGATATCGAAGAAATATACCGATGATCCAGCGACAGTCACCTTGATCTGGATTATTCCTTCTGTCTGGTACACATTGTCACCAATTTTCACGCAGTCCTGGATCTGACTCGAGTCGATAGAACACCCAACCTTACGAGCGAATGTGGTGTCCACGATAGACACCTCGGCGCCGGTATCTAAGAGTAAGATCGCTTTCTCATTGTGGATCTTTCCAGTGAATTTGGCTTGGCGGAACCATTTACTTGGAGAATGATGTTTCCAATAGCCACAAGATTATCCTGGTAGTAGATCCATGGTTATCGACTGCCGGTAGAGAAAACGATGTAGTAGGTTCTCCAGTTGCGCGATTGGTCAATGAGCTCGTTGTTACGAGCCACTACTTGGGTTGAGCCATTACGGGCCTGTGAATGATGTAGTGGATCCAGTGTCAACCGCAAGAAATGCAGCGTGGATACGACTCTGAGTGCAAAGCAGTCGACACCAAGACACCGCAACAGGGGGAAGAGCTCATGGTCAACCTGAGCGCGAACCTGAGGGTCTTGAAAGTCCGACGGAGCCTGCAGTCGCTGCTGAAACGGCAGCAACATCTCCGAAGTCACCGGCATCCTGGTCAAACCGACCAATAGGGCCGGATCCGCGCGAGAGCATCCATAAACTTGCATGACCTGCATCAGTCCAGCAGGTGTCTTCTCCAGCTGAGCATGACCAGCAACGTCATCGAGCGAGTCCGGGATGCGAATCTGGGTAGGCATCCGAGCTGCGAATGTGCGTGAAATATGTGTTCCACTGGTATTGGCAGCAGGTGTGGTCTGGCCGTATGGCAGTGTGGTAATCGCAAGTGAAGCGACCCCCTCCTCCCGCTAATGATATCGGGAGTTGGGAGCGTAGCCATCGATATCGCCCCGCTCAAATTGACGGGAGTTGGCGATGCCGACGTTTGCACCACGGTGATCGATGCTGAGGACGAAACCGCCGACGCTGAGGTGACCGACTGCGACACGGTGGACATGGTAGTCGCACTCTGCACGGAAGTGCCAATCGCAGAAGAATAACTGACGGTGGTCGAGTCAGAGACAGCATTCGCAGGAGCTGTAGTCACATTATTGTCAGTACTCGAACCCACCTGTGTGGACGGACGTGTAGGTGAGGGCGGAGCCGAAACCATGATCGGAGGATGAGCACTTGGAGTAACACTTGGATCTAATCGGTCAAAATGGCGGATCAACCGTGGCACGTAGGTGGATACTTGGTGATTCGGGAAATGAGTGGAAACCAAACTCGAAAGATGAGGGAGTTGACGTATGGGACGAGGAGTAGTCTTGAATATCGACACCCAACCGTTATGTGTGTTGAAGCCCAACTCGAGGATGAGATCGCTGAGCTCAGCACACATAATGGACGTTTGTGGTAGAGTGGATCCCAGAAAATTTGTGTGGGCATCACTACCGTCCCACCTAGAGCCCATCAAGTGACAGAAAACATTTGTTCTGTCGAAGTTGATGGTTGAATGTCAAGAAGTGAAGAAAGTGGAACATGTGACCAGACCAAAGAATTAATTCACCCTGACAGATGACGAGACATGACCTCAAGAAGAATGTTCTTGACTTTGGATGGATGTATCTTGACTATTCGACTCTCTATGATGTATGAGCCTCTATTCTGGGAGCTACTAACGTCGTCATGGTTTAGTATGGAGGCGATTGAGACTGGAAGTGGAAAAATCTAATACTATTCTCAGACTACCCATACAATTCTCAGACTTGAGTTCATCGGAAGGAGTTCTGAGTGATTGTATGTCGACGGGCGTGATGATGAATGATCTCAGGATATCGATGGACAGTCACCGACCTTGAGGTTGAGACAATTCTGGGATGTGATGAACATGACGGATTCCGGAACTGGGACAGGTGTGAATCCCATACTATTCTCAGACTCAATATGGCATGTTTCGATATGTTGGAAACGTAGTATAGTCTGGGAATTCTGGAATCTCGAATGATATTGACTTCTTCACCTATTCACTCAAGGGCAGTACGATCTGTGCAAAATCGCTAATGAAGCGACGATAATACCCGCCAATCCTAGGAAACTGAGAAGCTGCTTCGGCGTTGCTGGTTCAGGAAACTGGTCAGTTGCCAACGTCTTTCGCTTATCCACCTGAAGACCTTGTTGCGACACTGTGTGACCAAAACAATCTACTGACTCCACACCAAATACACACTTAGCGCGCCGTACATATAATCATTCAGCTCGTAGCGCGTCCAACACTTGCCGTAGATGATTGTAGTGTTCCTCTATTGAATGCGAGTAAGTACACATGTCGTCGAGGTATACCACAAGAAACGGAAACTTGCCGAAGAGCAATATCATCAACCGAGACCAGACCCTGGAGTCCCATCGAAGTTACGCATAAGTGATATGTCTCCTTATCGGTTCTGAAGGTGGTGTACTTTCGGCTGGACGATGCTATACGCATCTGATGGTAGCCCTGCGATAAGTCAATTGTAGAAAAACACAGCACCCTAACATGCGATCCAATAGCTCGTCGATCCTTGGTAAAGCGATTTTAGGCACTTCGGTCTGGGTGTTAATATAGCGATAGTCGACCGCCTTCCGAATAGGTAGCGCGTTTTTCCACTTTTATCCATTGTGAGCGGCTCGGAGCGGTTCCAGTCACAGCATCCTTCTTGGAAATCCCAAACAATGCCGTGCTTTACACGGGGAAGCTCTGTAGTTTTACAATACTGTACATACTAAGCGAATTGAACATGGTAAACTTTCTGATGCCTATTGGGATTTAAGAAAACACAACCTTATGATGATAAACTATCTGGGGGTTATTGATCTAAAGCTTCCAGCCGTGTGTTTTCTCCAATGGAAACACCCCACTTAGGGCTATTGATTTTCTTTTCTCGTTACGCTCGAAGTATTCTGCAATCCCTGCGCTGTCCACTCGTACCTACAGATTCCTTCTCTCTGCTGTGTCGTTTCACTGCAGATTCCTTTGGACGACATTCACTTGAATAAATTACTTCGGCTAGCTGTAAATTACTTGTGATGTTGACCCTAGGTGCCACAGGCAACATTTCTTTTACTTTGAATAATATCAAGACGGGTTTAAGTTATTGAAGC